TATATGTGATCATTAAAGGTTAACTGAGGACATTTTACATATTCTTTCAAGTATTATTTGTATAGAGAGACGTCTGCATATATTAGTAATTACAATTGATAGTACTACGACATAATTCCTATACTTATCTGTATTACCAGTGTATAGTGTTCTAAATGTTGTGCGATGATAGTCTATTGCAGAATGTTTTTATCTGATATATGCGATGTGTTGTTCTTTAAGACAAATGTTTCTATCACTACGATATTTCTTTTGTACTCGTTCACCCTCCTCTAGTCAATCGTTCTTTTGTAACTATTTTTGTCTCATGTGTTTGTACTAATAATATGGTAACGACTAGAAAGATAGTCGTTTTTACTTACTTTGTTTTATCGCTGCATCGATCACTTGCTATAAATAGGTTATAAAGTTTTTTGTTCTAAACTTCAGGACAGTCTTTTCCTCTGTTTCCTTATGTATTTTTATATGGAAGAAGACAAAAATTGACTAGGTTTTGTTATAGTTACGAAGAATACTTGCATATTTGAACATTGCGAATAACAGCAAGAAAAGAAAAGATCTTATTTTTCATGGATAGAAGAAATAATTTATACGGTTTCCGAACAAAATAGGCTCTCATAAAGTATCAATTGTTTTATTATGAGGAGATGAAATCGGAAAATGCTACATATAGTATATAATTGACACTGCAAAAAAACATAATATAAAATATCTTCATTTAATTAGAATTGTGTATATGAAGAATTCTTTTGTCTACATATAATTATACACATTTCATAAATAAAATGATGCTGATATGTCTCCCAAAATAAGATGAACAAATTATTACAACAAATATCATTAGTTCGAATGAAAATTTTTAAATAAACGATACATTTCATTAATAATATATTAACAAATAAAGTATAAATTATTCAATATTAAAAGTCAAAATAACTTTAACGTTTTCACAAGATCAAAGCTTTTTATTAATAAAAAAATAGGTTCGAATAATATAAAGAACAAAAAAAAAGATCTCAAATCAAAGTATTCTCCATCTAAATGCATTCAGTCAAATTTTTGTATCTAATACAATGGCAAATTATAGTAACGAATAATAGCTTATAATTTAATAGTAGACAAATGAATATAACATTTGCTCAAGCTGTTATGCATTTTTCTATTCGTTATTCTTATTTACTTCATTCACCACTAAAAAAATAGTACGTTACAGTGAACATTGATACAGAAACCTTAAGAGAGCAATCCTTTCGCTCATCAATCGCTTTTGGACAGAGACTATATGCATTATGTAGACCTAAATGAGTTATGAATATCTTGAAATGAGTACCGACCCTTAGCTTATTGGTACAAAGTTATTGCACTATAACAATAGTTTTTAAGTAAATGTCGAGTTAACAGAAAAAACAATGACTGATTTTCGAATTTCACCATGAAACTTAGTATAGATATAGGTCTTAGCAAGAATAGTTTTTTATGAATATTTCAAGTTTTGTCATTGTTAGTATCCTAAGATACAACTATGATAATAGCATGTCTTTTACCTCACTCATATCAATCGGTGAGTTTGATAGCCTTGAGCCAAAACCATTTGATCAATTAGAGAATTTCTCTTGTTAATCTAGTATGCAAATGAATATAACTGTTTTCTTAATATGTTGACAAAATACCAGAGATTGAACCAATAACCAAAAGTTCGATATATTTAAACTAGTACTGATAGAATTTTTTAAAATAATTATATTCATCCTTCAGTTTCTAGACTTGTTGCTTACAGATTATCTTCTACATGAATGAACAAATTTAAGAAGTATAAATAATATAATATCAAATGATTACTAATCGAAAATATTTATCAACTATCAATTTCATAACATCTTCTTTCGTTTTTATTTGTTTCAACTATTCAAAACAAAAAGTAACGTATTAATTTATGGCTGCTGTAAGCAATTTTTCTCTTAAACAAGAAAGACTTATAAGAATAGCTTCTTCGGTACGAATCGTTCGACTTCCTTGTTGTGGACAAGTATTTATATAAAAATGAAATAATTGTTCAGCTGTAATAGATCCATCTCGTTCAATAGCTTTTTCAAGTCCTTGCAAACCACCAAATACAATTAAAGCATGTCGAAAATGAGGAAATTCAGTGATTTCATCATGTGATATACCACGTTCAGATGTTCCAATAACAAGATCATATTTTGCTTCACGATTATTATCATCAAATGGACAATTTTCAATAATTGTTCGAATGGAATCAGCTTTTCGTACTTGATATCCCCAATATAAACCTGAAAGAAATCAAATAAATTTTCAGAGAATATCAAATGATCTTACCAGATTCTAAACGAGGAGTACTTGGACTAACAATTTCACCTGTAATTCTTTTTTTCTTATTTATTTGTTGACTGTCATCTATAAAAGAAAATTAAAGAGTTTTGCTTTTTTTGTCAAAAAAAAAATGAAAGATTTTACTTTGCAATTCTTTAGTTTGCAAATATTCTTCTTGTGTTATATCTGTTCGTTGTATAGTAACACGAAGACCTTGTTGTAAACGTTTATCAATTTGTATTTTTGTTTCATAAAGACCTACATCAACCCATGAACCTTTTCCTTCAGCAGGTTTTAATGGTAATGTAACACCTTCACGATAAAACCAATATTCATTTGCACGTAAATGATGTGGTGCATCTAATGGATTCAGTAAACCAGCATATTCAAGTAACTTTTGTCGCGGGAAAAATTGTTTACGAAGATATTGTGGACTAAAATAAACAAATAATATGAATATTTATAAGTTTTGAAAATCAATTCTATTAATCTACCATTCAAGATATTCAAGAAGTCGAATCAGTTGTTCACTTGCAGTGAATGGATTATTATCAATTTCTTCATTTGTTTCATCATCATCAAAAACAATTATTTCATCTATATTGAAAACACATGCTGCTCGACCAATTTGTCCAGCTAAATAAGTTCGCAATTCTTTTGATTGAGCATTACGTAATATAGAAGCAGGTAAAGCTATTGATAATGTATATGAACGACCTTTAATAGATTGTGATGTTATATTTGATGATACAGTAGTTTGTTGTTCTATTTCTTCAGCTTGTTCAGCATCAAGTGTTTTTTTTAATCGCTCATTTTTCCATGCACGAAGTTGTTCTTTATATCGACGCCAATCTATTGATTTCGTTGATGCTTTTAATGGACGTATTGGTCGAGAAATATAAGCATCATTCGACATATCTGAGTTGTAAGAATATCGTTCAATTGAGAAAAGCAGCTATTTTCTTTCTTACCCTTATCCTTATTGATTGAAATACATGAACCAATCATTTTATATGCATGATTCATCAGATGAAGTTAACGTGAGCTGGAAAGTTACGCCATCTTACGTTCTGATACATTTAGTGATTGAAACAATAAGCTATCACCGAATTTTTCTATACATCATTACTTGCTGTATATGAACAAACTATTAATTCATATTTTCCTTATTAATAAATGTCTTGTATATAATGGATGATGTACGGAATCGATACAACTCAATATGTTCTACTTTCAACTCAGCAGCAAAACGAGTTGATCTATTTTTTGCAAAACTTAATACAAGTTTGAGAGTTTCTAGTGAGACGTAACGGTTAAGACTTTAATTAGCAGCTGCCGCGAGCAAGGCTATTTTTAGTAGCGAAAAAAATTTGAAAACTTTTCTGCTATAAAGAACTGCAAGATGAGATGGATTATTTTAAGAGTCTACAGTTATTTTTACTACGAAGTAAATGGTTTGAGTTCTTTGTAAATTGATGAACTTGTTTCAAAGATTGACTTTTATGTAAACGTTGGCCGATGTGACAACATTTTTGTGTATTTCTCACTCCAAGAAAAACTCTACGTTATGTCGACTTAGTTTCGATTGACTCGAAACACTATTTCACTGGATCATACGATTCTCATATTTTCAGAAATACATTGGCTTTTTTGTACTTCAATTAGTATGTTTCTATTCGATACTTAATTCCATTTTATAATCACAATTAAATGGCATGTTCCAAAAAAAAACTCATGACATTCATAGCACCAAGTATATCTACCAAACTCTATAAATTGCAGTTAATTAAAATATAAAAAAAAAAAAAAAAAAAAAAAAAAAATAACTGATAGTTCAGCACATTCTACAAATTAGGGGTCATTCAATGGAAATAATACAACCCAATAATTAATGAATTCTATAAAATGCAGTCAGTTAAAAGTAAAATTTTTATCAGTAAGTTTTTAAAATTCTTAAAAAATACAAGCTTGAAATTTTCGGCTAATTTTATAAAAATGATTTACGTCACAAAATAAACTTTCTTAAACTTGATTCAAGTAAATTTTTGCGAAATTGGATAACGAAAATATGAAACTTTAAGTTTTTTCTATTTGAATTTCGGTTTTATTTTCGCAAACGGGAAGCTACAACTACTAACTTGTCTCTTATCGCAGATGAAGAGACTATTGTTTTGTTTTATTTTCTATGAGAACATAACGACGCTCTGCATGTGTAATGTCTCAATAGATGAAAATATTAGTGTACATTTTCTCATTATAACCATACAAAACGCAAAAGAAAGCAAAAAGATGACGAATTATGATGAAAGAACAGAACAGAACAGAGCAATGCAATGCGCATCCCAATCAAAGAAATTACCGACTTTATAAAAGTGACGTTTTAATGATTCACGTCAATATTGGTAAGTTGGAAAGAATCAGACAGTTTCGTCAATGATAAATATGCAAGAGAGCGATTTGCGAGCACAAATAAAATACAGTAATGTATTTCAGTATCATTCATCACGTGAATATCCTCGATTTTGTAACATATTTAGATTATAGTCAGAAAAAATCTAATTTTAGCTGAAATACAACCGGACTTAAACATGCCGTCGAAAAATAAACTGCCAGTAATTATCGATTTGAGTAAAATACTATATTGCGACGATTCTGCTGAAATAAAACGAATGGAAAACGAATTCGAATTAAATGGCTGGTGTTTTGTCTATTTACCAACAGAACTCATTCCAGATTCAAGCCTAATCAAAGACCTATCGACATTTTTTCAATCTCACGACAATACAAAGAATGCCTATTCACAACGCGTGCAAATATATGGTTATTCTAAAGTGAATCATAAAGAAGGAATCAAATTATTGACAGGAAGCTATTTTAGCAAATTTGCATATAAAGGATTGGTTCCACAGACCTTGATTCAACCGTTGAACTATCTTTCTCAAGTACTTGATGCCGTAACAAAACGTTTAATCGAAATTCTTGATCAATATTTAGTATTTCAACAACAATCATCTTTGTCTTCTCTTATCAAACATGCCGATTTGCCATTACAAGATGAACATTTTGGTATGCTCGACATTGTGTCTTACTTCAACCAAAGAAGTGGTTTCAAGCCACCATATAATGGATCAACAACCGAAGAAGTCAACTGTGTTCCACATTATGATCCAGGCCTACTTTCAATTAGTATATTATCAACACACGAAGGTCTTCAATTGAAAAATATGACAAATAATGAGTGGGTGGATGGACCGTTAGAACCTAATATTGGTGTCATTTGGCTAGGAGAAGCGGCATCTCGAATAACACAAAATCGGCTAAAACCAGGTATCCATCGAGTCATTTATCCTCAAGAGCAGCAGCGGCGACTCACAGTCTGGTATGAAGTATGTACAGTTGAACAATTAAGAAATATAAACGGTGACAAGAAAGACGAACGAATGATTGATGGGGTCGTTACATTTGGCAATCTCCCTGGATCGACTCCAGTGCATGTCTTACCTGGAGAGAAAAAGCTGGAGTTTTTGAAACGAATTGAGATGGCATATGGTTTATCAATGAGCAAATTGGGCTACGTATTTTATGATCTTCAAACATATGACATTTCATATCCAACAACAACAACTGAACTGCAAGAACCGATGGACACAACATGAAATCGAATATAGAATCCAAAAATACTGCATCTATCAACAATGAGGAAAACTGATATCCCACGTTTAGATTTTCTCAGTATATATTTGTTTTTTTACTATTTCTATGAAAACCAATCTTGATCATTTTAAAACACATTGAATAGGTTGTATTGTTCTGCGGGAATGGTATTAAAAAATAATCGTTCCTGAAAACCGTTTTATTTTGTAATAAATATCCTCCAAATTTGACTTTTTCAAATAAAAACTGTCGAAACCATTCCAATGTTACATAGTCAATAAATAGATTTTAACAGTCTGCCGAAGACTTCGGCATCGCTGACAAGCTCATTCATTATTTTTTAAGTTCTAATGCAATTATCACAACTATTATTTTCTTTGCTATTATAACCTTCTCATCTTGAACGGTTTCGTTTTTCATCAGTATTGTTGACATGCTAGTCGTTTTTCCTCCTTTCAGTTGTTCAATTCATGAATGTCATGATTTTTTTCACTCAACGTTGATAAATTTCGATATAAAAAGAACAATCGACTTATTGTAGTAAAATAAATCTTCAACGATAATTTTACTTTTAGCTTAAGGTCATGTCACATTGTGTAAAGTGAAATGTTGACAAAGCCTGGTGTTTGGTAACAATAGTTTTTCACAAACACGAAAAAAGAAATTTTAATAAGGATTGAAAAGCACTAGAAAAGCATAAATCCAGAAATGAAAATAGAGAAACTGGAATGAATTTTTTTAACAAGAACGGGAATCGAGAAAGGTCATCTCTGCAATGACACTAATGGGTTGAGTACCAGTAACAGAGAAAATATTTGTATAAAATAGTTATTTGTGAGGTGATCTTTTATCAACAACAATAATATCAATAAAAAAAAATTGTATAGCAGAGATATATGTACTGCATCACCAAAACGAAAGACATGACATTTATTAAAGTAATGCATAAACCACAGTCGTGTGATGGCACCTGATTACTGTCTTCTTTCAGTTTCAAACTCGCTAAAATAAGTGTCAAACTAATCATGAGTAAGAACTTGAAATATGTGGCAACTAAATAAGTTTCATATGTTCAAAATTTTTGCATGTCACGGGCATTTTTTTATAAAATGGTTGTCATGCTCGTTTTAAACTTTAATCTTACTTTCTCACACTTTGTAAGACTAATTCATTAATAAACTTTAGTGAAAAGAATACAATTTTTGATTTACAATATAGCTTACTACAATGAATATCTTCATATTTTGTGCACCTCATTAGACGTAATGATGTGGGTGTAGATCTTCTATTTATCGACTCACCCATAACCCACAAGCATATCCACAACCTAAGCTAGTCTGAAGCATTATTCTTGCGCTAAAATACTTGAATTTCTCATACATACCAACTAACCACATATTGATCACAAGTGCAGGTGATGCCATAACGCAATCAGGATACTACCTGACAAGCGACGGTCGCAGGGTTATTTCGTGGGTTGTTTTTGTTATCAAGGTTTGAACATAGTACCATGCAGATACTTGTCAAGTAACATATAGTCAGTTCAAAAAGTATTGGACCACTTGTTGTCTTCATTTTACATGTTTAATATTTGTTTATTTGATAGAGAATGCCATACTACAGTGCTCTTTTTTTCCTAAATTCTTCCTTTGTATGCAAAGAAAATGGATGACAAGTTCAATACCTTGAGATAATGTTCAAAAGTAGTCATCTATTTATAGAAGTGCTTTTTTTATAGAATAATAAAAACGTTAAGTTCACAAAGCTGGCACTAGAACTTCTTCTCTTGTTATTTCTGACAAAAAAAATTAGCCATGAGATATAATAAAACTTTTTCGCAAATTTTAAGCTGCTCAATCAAAAAAATATACAACAGCAACAAAATATTCGGAAACCAATACAATAGCTATCATTATGAACTTTTCAAGGTCTCCATCTAGTGGTGCTGCAATTAGGTTGTGTAACGCTCCCTTCCAAATCTTCAACAATTTGAATTATCTTCCTGCAAAGTTGGAGTTCTCGTTTTGTATGCTGTTAGAAGAAAGATATTCTCTCTTTGCCAAAACTCATGCGATCTTCTTCCCCTTAGCATTGGCTGCTTTAGTATACTGCTGTTTCCATCCGACGACAGTATAGTTCATGAAATAATCGGATAGATCTTCTATCTTTAATTTTAAGTTCAGTGTACTTTTTCTTCTCAATTTGAATTCTATTATTTGATAACATCACGTCATTAGTTTGTGTTCGATTTTATAGTTTGTACGCTTGAGCTCTCTGTTTGTCATAATAATGATTGACTTAAAGTACTGACTCACCTTTATTCCTTTTCTTTTAAAGGAAATATCTTACTTGATCTTCATTCATTTGTCTATAGTTAATATTACGAAACTACACACCAATTCCAAACTCTTATTGTCAATATTTATACATCACATCGTTGATTAGTTATTAAACAATGCCAACTCGGTAAGCAATTTTCTTTTATTGTTTCCCTATTTTTTTCTGTTTCTTTCTTATGAAACTGTTTTCTATACATTTGTTTAAATGAAAACTCTTGATTTTTTTGCGTGTTTTGCATGTATTTTTATTTGCGCCTAATATTCCCATTGAAAAGTAGGTCCCATTCTTCTTTTAGACGACCATCAACATTCAATTATTTATTAAACAAAATTAATCTTATTATTTTCAACAACCTCACACAAGAGTTACATATGAATGATAAACTTATTCATCGTCTATTACGGGTAAGAATAAATCTTGATTCTTCTATTAATTTAGTATTAATGAGATACTTCAAGTTAAAATTCTATTATTTAGAAGTCTAAAAAGGAATGACAAACGAGAAATTTGAGATTAAAAATAGTTCATTAATGAAAATGTTTATGTAAACGTTCATCTGACAGTGTTTAGATTTCGGGAGAAGAAATTCGCGTAACAAATCATTAAATTTCAGAAATTACTACACACAATAAAATCTAAAACAAATAGCGACCCCTTCCTCTCAAACAATGAAAACTTAGTAATTTCTGTAATTACTAGGAAATTTCGTAATTTCTCTTTTCTTATATGTAATTCCATAGAATTGAAATCTATACGTGTAGAGTTCCCGGCCCCCAAAAAATATTGAGACTTTTAAAAATTTGCATAGTTTTCAAGGGCTAAAATCTTGAAGGTGTGGATGTGAGTGTGGGTCTGGATGAAGAGATGAGTTTCAATCATATTCACGGTTCACCGACGTTTCCGTGCATGACATATCCGCGCCGACTTTTTCGCGCACGACACTTCCGCGCAGCAACACTACCGCGCGCGACACTTCCGCGCAAATGAAGTTTTTCTCGTCTGTTCATGTTGGGTTAATGCTAGAGGAATCACCTGGGATGCTAGAGAGATCACCTATGATATCGGTGAGATCACCTGAGATGCTAGAAGGATCACCTGGATTGCTAAAGGAATCATCTGGGATGCTAGAGCAATCGTCTATGATACTGGAGGGATCATCTGAGATGCTAGAGGCATCGCCTGGGATGCCATAGGGATCACTTGAACTGCTGGTAAGCTCATCGGGAACACTACAGGGACCGCCTAGGATGCTGGAAGGACCATCTGGAATGCTGCATACATCGCCCGAGATACTAGAGGCATTGCTCTGGATACCAGAAACATCGCCCGAGATACTAGACGCATCGTCTGGGATGCTAGACGGATCGCCTGAGTTGCTGGAGGGGTCATCTGGGATTCTACAAGCGTCACCAATGGATGCGTTTAGTATCATAGGAGATGCATATAGCATCTCAGGCAATCCTCTCGCATTTCAGGTGATCCTCTAGCATCTCAGGCGATCCCTCTAGCATCTCAGGTGATCCCACTAGCATCTCAGGCGATCCATCTAGCATCCCAGGCGATCCTTCCAGTATTATAGATGATCCCTGTAGCATCATAGGTGATTTCCGTAACATCCCAGATAATTCCTATAGCAATCCAGGTGATTCCTCTAGCATTAGCTCAACATAAACAGAAGAGAAAAATTTCATTTGCGCAGAAGTGTCGCGCGCGGTAGTGTTGCTGCGCGGAAGTGTCATGCGCGGAAATGTCGGCGCGGAAGTGTCGGCGCGGAAATGTCGTGCGCGGAAACATCGTGCCACGCATATTCACACCCTTCGTAATTTTTAGAAACTAAGTCGCATCTTCCAGAAGAGAGAATCTGAATAAAATACTGATTTTTTTGCCATTGTGATTGAAGTATTTCACAGACGAAAGTATCTGGAATAACAGATTTTTCTGATGAGCTATTCCTCAGAATCTAGGAAAAGAGATCCCGAATGATAAAGTATAATTCTAAATATCTGTTTAAAACTTTTCATCTACTAACCTTTCATTGCTTTTATATTAAAAAGATTAAATCTAAACTATTGTTAAGTGCTGATATCGAAAGATAGATCAAGAAGTTCTCTTGTATTATTTTATTGATTTAAATCTATAACTATTTTTCTTTATTTTCATAGATCAACTAAATACGTCTTTATATTGAATCAAGTTTTTATTGAATTTGTTTATTAGATCCAAATCAATGAAATATCATACTACATGTTTATGTGTATTCAATTGAAAGAAATTTGACATGTGACACATTCAATTATGTTTTCAAATTGTTAATTCAACGTCGATGATCATTAGACAATAAATCTTTTCTGTTTGATAGATTTTTTTTTCTGTCTTTGTGGTATTTTATGTATTCGAACAAAACAATAATTCATCTATGTTTTTTATTTAGAAAACGTTCATCAAGTTCATCATCATATCGATCAAGTAGTGAACAAGATGAAAAACGTCCATTTCGTCGACATAAACATAGAAGTAATGGAAAGTCATCAAAAAAGTACGAAAAACAAAACATATTTGCAGATAAAAATCAAATTTATGTTTTTTTTCTCTGTTAGACATTCCAGAAACAGCAGCACAACTCGTCGCATATCATGTTCAAGATCTCCAGTTCGATATCGTACACCGACAGTTGATAAAGAACGTAAATCATTGAAAACTTCTACTAATCTAATAACGCCAGTGATAGCGGCTACAACTGAACCTCTCAATAAAGTAACGGTTTTTCTTTATTTTTAATTCTTTTCTCAATTTTCATTTTTTGAATAGGAAGCTGAACGGAAACGTCTTGAAGAAGAAATGCAGAAACGTAAAAATCGTGTTGAACAATGGCGTGCTGAACGTCGAATAATGCTTGGTATTGATAAAGTCAGACAACAATCAGTGGTACAAGCTGTGAAGGTATAGTAAACAAATATACGATGTTCCGAGAATCCGTCGGTATTAAAAACAAGAATTGTTGGCGTAGGCTCTGCGAGATTAATATGTGAAATATGATGTAACAATTGTTACTAAACCTAGAGAAATTGTTTCATTTAATCGTTCAGCAATGTAATAAGAAGTTAAAACGTATTATAACAAGACGTTAGTGATATATAATCTGTAATGCTGAGGTGATTGCTAAGATGTCTTTCATGGTTTGTGCTGGATTTCGTAAGAAGAAAGGACACTCATGTCTTCGAGTTACCTTGCGATATGGAGTGTTGTGTAGCGATGGATGCAATATTTGAACAGCAGGTGAACATCACTCAAAAGTCTTGAGCTCGTCATACACACGAATAAACTACAAGAGCAGATGTTTGTCATCACACAGCTAGAATGCTATCGTATAAGTCATACGAGACAAAAATTCGTTTGTGATTTATCCAGAAACATTCCATGGCTGATAGTATTGAGATTTGTATACAGCACTTTGTGATTATACTTCGAACAAAGTAGTCACTATGATGTGATGCCTGATGATATCTAACTAGCGTTTGTCGCGACCTTTAGGGATGAGAGAGGAGTCGAAGTTTTTACCACGAACTTCGTTTGTCATATTTTTAAGTGTACTAACTGTTCGGTAGCTATTCTTCTCCGATGATCCAGATAGCAAAGGTCCTATAACCGTCAGGATAAATACTATTGAATCTTTATTTTGATTAGGAAAAAATTGAGAAAAGATAGATTTGAAAATAAAGTCGAAATCGAAGAATTTCGATTTCTAAATCTCATTCAAAGCACCACTTTTTTTTGAAACGACGAAAAAATTCTTACAAATAGTGTAAAAAAAAATCCAAGATTTTTGCATTATTTATGACACACGAAACGATGAATAAAGATAGTTCCTGGCTGTTTGATATATTGGTTTTTTCTAGACAGAACTTAGTAAATAGGTATCTTGAAATTTCGGTGCACTTTTGGAACATTATATATAAATTTTAATTCACTTTTTAATGCTGTTTTTGATTCTTTAGGGTAAATCTTGGTCATTAGAAGATGAATGTGATGACGACGAAGAAGATTTACACAATGTTTGTATACCACAAGTCAGCCTTAAACGTGGTGTTGCTACAGCATGCGAAGCATCAATGTCTTCGGCAATAGCTGATAATCAACGAGAAGCAATGAAACGTGCTGCACAAGTAGCTGCACTTGCTTCAGTTGCCTGCAGAACTGTTGAAAAAGTTGATGATGACGAAGAAGATCCTTTAGACAAATATATGGAAAATGTTGCAAAAGAAGTTAAAGGTTTTCGGCAAAATAATACTAACGAAATTGTTACAATTAAACAAGAACAATTATCAAATAATATCAAAGGATCAGTTATCAAAATTATTACAAAAACAATTAAAAATAAAGTAAGAATAATATATTATTTAGAGTTTGATTAATCATTTGGATGTATAAAACTTCAGAAAAATCGAGAAATTAAGCTGAGCTGTTGTAGGTTATAAGATCGAATGAAGGAAAAACTAGAGTTAACACGGAGCTGTTTATGCTATTTCCAAGTTTCGATATATAGGGCGATAGCTGAAAAGTTAATTTTCTTTTTTACTAGATCTTCGTAATTGTATGGATTATTGTTTTGCTAGTTTTTCTTACGAAAAACAAAGTGAAGGCAAAGAAGTTTAAAAACGAAGTATTTTTGAATTTTTTTGCTCAATGGAAATCGCTCGAAAGAAATTTAAAAAAATTGATTATATGAAACAGTTTCCTAATACAAGAAATGCATGTCAAATTTTCATGAAGAGTTGTAGATAAAAGGTTCTGAGATTCTGTCAAAAACGTTTTGCAAACAGTCTCATCAGCATTTCTGAACAAAATAGAATAGCTGTGATCTATCTAGAACGAACTACACGCATTCTATGAAAAGCGCCATGGTGCAATAATTTCTTAAAACAACAGAAAACAGTCTGGTAGGCCTAGCTGTTCGCTTAAGATACGTCTTGAATATCTTATTTGGTTTACAAAACATTTTTGATAGAATCCATACATCTTTGACCGGAAACTCTTAATGGGAAATCAACAAATACTTCTTCTAATGAGAAATTGTTTCAGGAAATCAAAATATTTTCTTCAGTTTTCTCTCATTGGTATTAGTCGAACATGAGAGTTTTCATAGTGACAGAAAATTGAAGTTATTATTAATTTTCAAAAAACGACTCCTCGTATGAGTCTAAGTGTATGTCAGAGGCTCCAGCTAGTAATATTTAAGCCTTACTGTACTTTTTATTCTCCCAAGCTTCAATAAAACATTATCTACATGTCTTACCATAAGAAACTAGATCTTCGCAAACTATAAAAATTTTTTTTTTTGATTTCTAGGACCTACTTCAAAATAATTTCTATTCTCATTCCATTCATCAAAGTATAACAATCTCTTTTGTACAATAGTATTTAATTGAAAAATTATATTTAGAAGAGATTGTTGTCAAAATTTATATAAAATCTAAACGTATTATTGATTAAAATTAAAATAATTTTTTTTGTTTTATTTCTTGTAGCCAGTAGAACCAAGTGGTACAGTACCAATAATTAATGATCATCATAATGATTCATCATTAGTTAAAACTGAACCTATGGATATTAATGATCAACCAATCTCACTTCCATCACTTGTTACAGTTCGTAGTAGTGCAGTTAAACCTGCTAAAGAAAAAGGTGTTATTATGGAACAAGATCTAGATGGTTTAGAATATTCATCAGAAGAAGAAAGTATTAAACCAAATGAAGAACTTGATGATACAGCTGCTATGAGTAATAAAAAATCGAAATTAGTAAGTTAAAAATTTAAATTATATATTCAATTATCATTCTATTTTTTTTAAGGACATGATTACAACAAATCATGATAAAATATATTATCGACCATTTCGTAAAGAATTTTATACAGCTATATCCGAGATAGCTAATATGACAGAAGCCGGTAAGTCGAAACAAAACAAAAATTTTTTAATTCTTATTCTTTTTTTGTAAATCTCTTTAGAAGTTGCTGCTTATCGAAAAGAACTCGATGGTATCAAGGTAGCTGGTAAACAATGTCCAAGACCAATAAAAAGTTGGTCACAATGTATAACATCTGATAAAGTTTTACAATTTTTAAAAAAGTAAATTAAAAGATTTCTTGTTTTTGCTCTTCAAAAAAAAGAATATTTTCTTTAGGTATAATTATGAAAAGCCAACACCTATTCAAGCCCAAGCATTACCAATTATTCTTACTGGTAGAAATATGATTGGTATTGCTAAAACAGGCAGTGGAAAAACATTAGCATTTCTTTTACCAATGTTTCGTCATATAATAGATCAACCACCATTAAATGATGGTGATGGTCCAATAGGTAAAAAAATTAAATATTTTTTTTTTGAGAACAATATTAATATTAATATTAATTTTTTCTCTTTGTCTTAGCTATTATTATGACACCAACTCGTGAATTAGCATTACAAACAACGAGAGAATGTAAAAAACTTGCTAAGTTATTCGATATTCGTTGTATTGCTGTTTATGGTGGTACAAGCGTATCAGAACAAATTGTATGTTTGATTCTTTTTTTTTTGTTTCTTGTTGAAAAATTAATCTTGATATATATATATATATTTCAGGCACAACTAAAACGTGGCGCAGAAATTATTGTATGTACACCTGGACGTTTGGTTGATATGTTAGCTGCCAATAATGGTATGTCGAAAAAAAATTATTGATTGTTATTTGTTTATGTAACTCATTGAATGCTTTTAGGAAAAGTCACAAATGTTCGACGAGTCACTTATGTTGTTGTCGATGAAGCTGATCGAATGTTTGATATGGGTTTTGAACCACAGGTAAGAGTGAACCTAAGTTTACTTCTATTTTATCAAAGGATAGAAAAATGATTTCTTTTCTTCTTTCTGAAATTTTTTTTCATAAGTAATTCGATATATATCAGATTCGAACAATGGTTCGCTGTTTACGAACTAGTATTAAAGTGATGAATTTTCTAGCAGAAACGCTTTCCAATTGAAGGTCGAAATTCGTATAACCAACAAAGGTTTTTTGTTTTTGTTCTTTGCATTAGAAGATCTTAGCCGTCAAGTGAATCATGGATGTCAGCTCTACGTTCATGAGAAGTTCTATTGTATAAATTCTTCACAAAATTGGAGAGAAATGCAGTTAAACTTTTAACAGCAGAAAGAGCTATTCTGCTTGGAATCTTTTATTTTGACTTAATTCTAAAGTGAAAAGTGACGCGAAGAGAAATTAAATCTATTACTTTTAAGCAAACCGTGGTTCATATTGATGAGTCTAATATTATTCTGAGAAAATAGTCATATAGTCCTATCAGTGAAATTATCTGATGCCGTCTATATTTTCTACATAACTAACTTGGTTATCACTGGCAAATTTAGAATTATCGTCTATGTATAGATAACATTGATTGACATATACGTAATACATTACTTATTTTTTGAATAGAAAATTAAGAATAAAAGTAGATTTGTCTTAAATGTTCTATCACGACGATAATTTATTTTTAGTCATCTATTAGAATGTTAATAGATACGCATGTATCATTTTTTCAGGTTCCTAAAGCTAAAAATACGGAAACGTTTTCGGACAATATCATTGACCTAGATGCTGTTGTTTCGATCAGTAAATAAGGAAAAGTTCTTTTCTAATTTCAATGTATTGAATTAATAGCATCATTCGATCTGTAATGTTCTTTGATACGTTCAATAAAAATCAATATACAATAAATATTCTTTATCCTTTTTTACTAGGTAACAAAAATTCTTGCTAGTATTCGTCCTGATCGTCAAATCGTTATGTTTTCAGCAACATTTCCTAAAAAAATGGAAGAATTAGCACGTAAAAGTCTTTATAAACCCATCGAAGTTACCGTTGGTGGACGAAGTATTGTTTGTAAAGATATTATACAAAATGTCGTAAGTATTTAAAAAATGAATTAAAAATAAACTATATTAAATCTCTTGTTATTTTCATTAGGTTATTCTGAATGATGATGAGAAATATTTAAAATTACTCGAATTACTTGGTATATATCAACCACAAGGCTCGGTTCTTGTTTTTGTTGACACACAAGAACATTGCGATGAATTAATGAAAAAATTAATGAGTAATCTTTATCCATGTATGTCATTACATGGTGGTATTGATCAATATGATCGTGATTCAATAATAACCGATTTTAAAAATGGTGATATACCATTAATAATTGCAACATCAGTTGCTGCACGAGGTTTAGATGTTAAAAATTTAATTCTTGTTGTTAATTATGATTGTCCAAATCATTATGAAGATTATGTACATCGTTGTGGACGTACAGGTCGAGCAGGCAATATAGGTTATGCTTATACATTTCTTACATCCGCACAAGAACGTTATGCTAGTGCTATAATCAAAGCTTTGAAAACATCTGGTACATCTATACCAGAAGAATTAACTTTATTATGGGATACGTATGTTAAAAAAATGGAAGCCATGGGTAAAATAGTAAAAATTGGTAGTGGTGGTTTTAGTGGACGAGGTAGTTACGAATTCAATTCATCAGAAACACAATTAAAGAGAAAACAAAAAAACATGCAAGCTGCTGCTATGGGTTTAGTAGATTTGGATGAAGATGAAGAAAGTCAAGTTGTATGTTTAATATTTTGATTTTTTTTTCACAATATATGAAATAATTTCTTTTTCTTTAGATTGATCAACAAATTCAATCATTATTTAAAAAGAGTAAAGAACATATTAAAGCTAAAGATAATGCATCAGTTAATCAAAATATGGGAACTAGTGGTTCAACAACTATAAATGATATAGCATCGAAATTAGAATTAGCTACGAAAGTAGCAGCTAGGTAAATCTTAGTTTATATATTTTCAGTTTGATGACGAATACTAAAGGGAATAGGTCGAGAACTTTGAATCTGTAATCGATTTCACGAAATTATATAATCTGATTTCTCGATCAACTAACTTTCAATTCGGAAATCTATAGTCAAACTTTATTTAAAAAATCATTACTTTCCCAAAATAGCCGTTCTTTAATGAACAAATCAAATCCATGATAGTTTTTTTGAATTAAGCTCTGCTACTATAATATAAAAGAGTACCTTTATAATTATAGTCTAATATAAGAAAATTTCTTACATAGTATGAAGGCTCACAGAGAATTTTGGTTTGTCAAATGAGTTATTTTTGACTCTTGTTGGTTGCGTATCTCTTGAAAACGTTACGATAGGAAACTAGAAACTTCATGTCCTATGAATATATCTTGTGCAAGATCAAATTTTCACGGTGGACGCTTTTATCTTGATTTCTAGCAATTTTTTGATTGTAGCGGTTATTTTGCTTTTAAATTGACAAGACATTGAAAAGAAATTGATATTAGCTCTTTTACTTTTTTTTACGCTTATGTTTTCTGTAAAACTTCAGTGAGCCTTATTCACAATTTGCTTATAAGTTTTCCGATGACAAAAATATGAACCAGCTGACGGTTATAACTGACCGAGCATTGGCCTGTTTGTTGGATCACTATCAATTGGTTAATAGGAATTTCTTCAAAAATAGCCGTTTCTGGTTTTTTTTCGTTCAGGTTTGATATATAGCTCGAAAAACAAAGAATCATGTACACATCAATTGACTGTCAAACGTCTGATCTTTATTTTCTCTCACTCAACTTTTATAGACAAACATAATGTTTCTCTTTAAACGACGATTCGAACCTTAATTCCTTCTTCAACAAAGCATAAATAAGATAAATTTAATTACTCCGATAAAAAACAATTGCATGCTTATAAAATATTTTTCAACTGGTTACAGCTCAAAAAATCCTTTAGAATATATCCGTAGAAGAAAAGATGTTTTGAATCTGATGGACTTTAGTCATGTAAGAAATCTGTACAACGCGCTAGTCACCAAAGAAAAAAAAGCAAACAAATATATCCTATCTTCAACATAACTATTCAATTTCGATTAAAAAACTTTTCTTGAGAGTATCAAAATAGAATTTTTTTCATATTAGCTCACTGATGAATTCATGGGAAACTATTGATTAATTCTTTTTTTTTTCCTTTGTACGACTGTAATCAAGTTTGAACAAATAAAAAATAATGAATTTCGATTTTATTTTCAGACTTTCATTGATCAAGCCTGAAACTCGAAATTCTATGCAAGAAGCAAAAACCTCATTATTTCAATATGATGGTACATTAAATTCAGCTGTATCCGTAAGTATTTGATAAATTATTCGAATATTTATTATAGAATATATTGTGTTTTTCTTTGTTAGAGTCGTATTGTAGCACAACAACGAGCAAGTGAACTTAATCGAAAATTAAATTATCAAAAACCCGAAAATGAAATACAAATAACTGAAAATGCGTTCAAAAAATTTGAGGAAGAATTAGAAATAAATGATTTTCCACAAAATGCTCGATCAAAAATTATAAGCAAAGTAAGACATATATATTTATATATTGAGAATACAGAATATTTTTATTTATTTATTTTTTCACAATAGGAAACATTATTACATATATGTGAGTATGCTGATGTTGACATATCTGTACGTGGTCAATATTATCCAAATAATAAAGAAATTACACAAGATGATAGAAAACTTTATTTACAAATTGAATCACTAACTGTACATGGTCTTCAATTAGCTAAAGAAGAAATTATTCGATTAATTAAAGAAGAAATGATGAAAATGGTAAGTTTGATATGTAAATTTAGGACATTAAAAATAATTCTTTGTTTTTTCTTCTTTTTATAGAAAAATCCAGCTCTACAAATTGCTACTCGTGGTCGTTATAAACTTTAATTTAAATTGTTTCTGTTTTTTGTTTTCTAGCATTAATTTTTTTTTCATGTTTTGTAACCAGGAATTTTTTCATCATTTTCTATGGTTTATTTTAGCTTGTCTATGAGAGAACACTACGATTTACAGTTTATTTTTCAATTAAATTGGACAAATCATATGAAATATTTTCCATATGTTCATGAACTGAGAAGAAAAGAAACATATTTTGAATATCTGCAACTAAGTTGCCTACGCCAACGAAGTTTATTGGTTATAGAATTCAAACAAAATAGCTAATTAATTTTGATACAATAAATCAAATAAAAACAAGAATAAAAATTTAGAATAGTCAATGTTATAGGATAAATCTTACGTTGAGTATTGATCTGACAGTTTTTAAAGAAGATTTTTATTCATTTTTGACAGAGTAGAAAGTATATTCGATGAGTATTTTGAGCTACTTTCAAATATAGTTTTAGAAATTGTTTAGGAGTGAAGAACTTCTTGAAAGATCTGAAAAATCTGTGTTCTTCATATTTAGAATAAAATATATCTATATGCATATGTTGACTTATAAATATAATAGAAATCCATGGAATTATTTACAATTCGTTACATTCGCGGTATTTATATTGCAAAAAAATTTAATATCCTATTATTCTAATAATATAGTTTTAGTTTACCGCTAACTCTTAATAATTATGACATTATATTCTCGCATATACAACGTTGAATAATCGATTGGAACCATCAATAGTTGAATAGCAGTGATCATCACTTCTAGCAGCATTTCAGGTAGCATAATACACTCGTAAATGGTCATAGATTAGTATATCACATTGATAACAATTATGATCGTATTTCTCTATATATGATACAAAGAAAGATGGTCTTATGCAGTGAAATACGTGGTCTTTATTGAATTTACTATTGTTCGTACTAGGATACTACTACTTGGTAAATTTGAATCCTTATGTGTAGATGACCTTTTTCGTTATTGTACACAGTCATTTTTACCATAGTTACGCTATAGTAAGTCTGTTATAAGCAGAGACTGATCAATTCCCATTTCTAGGCCGTTTTTATTTCAGTATAGTGAATATTCAGATAGTTTAGAGTTTTCTTCTTCCTTCTGAAAAATGTAAACAATAGTTGTCTTTCTCGATAATTATATTTTCAATTTTTGTTATGAAGAAAAAAAAATTATAAAAAGATATTATTTGAAAAAAGATCATTAGTATGTGCAATATTAATCGTCATTAGTTTCCAATTAATTTGTAGTAGAAACTTCATTTGTACTAATAGTTGGAATCAATCCACTATGTTGTTCTAAAATAAATTCAAGTAAGATTGAGAAAAAAAACATATATATTGTTTTTTTATTCTCACTATCGTTAATACTAGATGAGATATTTGAAATTAATGATCGTTTAATTGGTGGTAAAGGTGGACTTGCTCGTTTTAAATCACCAGCAGTGGAATTAAATGGTGTACGAGGATTTCTCTCACGACTTTTTGCTAATTTATTATTGAAAGATATTTTTATAAAAGATAATAGACAAACAAAAGAATTAAAAATACCTGACATAGTAGAAAGACTATCTCGTGAAATACGAGTAATAGTTTCACTTGGTTTTCTCACTCGAGGATTGCCTATACCAGGTCTTGATAAAGCAACATAAGAACGTAAATTTAATGATGGTACACATGGATCAATTCCATCATTAGTAAAAGCAGATAAAAGAGGTGTACTTGAATGAGACATTGGCATTAATGCACGTTGTACATCACATTCTTGTAATCGAGTTAATTCACTTAATTTTATAGGTTTTTGTTCTGTATCAATATTATTACCATTAGAATCATTCTGTTGATCAGTTTGTAATGTTTGAGGTAGCACAAAACTTTTTTCGATCTATCATTGTTGAGAAATAAATAATAACAATAAATTTTATCATCTTTATTTTCTTACATTAAAACATGGTTCATCATCATCTGATGAGATAATTGATGGTATTCGTGTTGATATTTTTTGCTTTCCAACCTTTTGATTACTTGTATGTTGTGATTGTAATGATTGTCGGCTAGGATGATGTTGTTTCTTTGTTTTATTTTCCTTTAATAATGCTTCTCGTCGAAGTTTTTCATATTTCATATAAGATTGAGTAGCAATTCTTAATGACAAACATTCCATTGGTTTCATCAATCTTACTACTTTTTTTTTCTATGTGAACGAATGTTTGGTTTTAAAAAAGAAACAATGTCAAACACAAAGAAAAAGAAAAATATTGTTTTCTTTTCGAACTCGATACTAATGGTCGATGAAATGCATTTCTCAATCATTTAAGTGTTGATCAAGTTTTGATAATAAAAGAATTCTGCTTACTCAAACGATTAATTTTTTTTAAAAATTTCTCCCTTATATATCATCAAACGAGAAACATGCTAATGAAAAAACTAAGTTAATCCCATTACAGTATGAAACTTAAAACTTAATTTCAACGTAGCAGATTTCAGATCTCTACAGCTTCTCGTTTCATAAGACAGATACAAAAGGGTATCAGATCGTGTAAAAACATTTATAAATAGCCTCACGTACAATAATCGAAACTTAGAAAATTATAAGTCAATTATGACATGTATGGTCAATATATTTCGTATTTAGCAACTGAAAATTCTTTGTGGCCTCACATTCTATAGATTCAAGTAACTTTATTTTGAAATAGCATGTCAGACTACAATGCCTGATAGAATCCTTTTTTTAAGTTCTTAGTTTCTTTGCAGAGAAAAGGATGACAAATTCAATCAATCTAAAAATGGTCATCTATTAATAGACGCGCTTTCTTTTTTTTTTTTATAGAATAATAACAAAACTTGATTCAAGAATCGAACGCTGTAGTTTCACATGCTTTTTCAAACAAAATCAAAGACCGTTAGCTATAACCCACAAATTTTGACAAAAAGAAACAAGATGCCAAATTAAAAAAAAACCATGTCGCTCTATGAAAGATCAAGTCTCACACTATTTTTCCATGCATTTATCTCAACTTTAGTTTTTCTGACGAAGACTTACTATGATTTACAAAATCCAAAGCGCATACAGAGCCTATCTTTCAATATATCTCGACAGTACCTTAATTTTTATTTTTTAACCTATATACATTCAAAAACAAAAACTATCTTAGTGCATGATTTCCAATGTGTTAATGATATGTTTTCGAATATTAGAAATATATTTACCGTCCTTGATATGAATAAACTGGACGTATTAAAAATATACTAGATTCATCTTCCAAATTATCAAATTTTTCTGTTAATGTTATTGCTAAATTAGCACGTTGTTGACGAATATCTGATATACATTTACTTATTTGGTTTGCACGCTAAATTCATAACAAAAAAAGTAATAAAGATTTCGTTTAAAAAAAAAAACAATAATCTTAGTTCGACAAACTCGTTCATATAATGATTCCATTTTTTCTAAAACATTTCTTGTTTCATGATCATAAAAATGATTTTCAATACGATCTGCAAAATGAAGAATTCGAAATAGAAATATTAATTTTCTTTTTTTTGTTTACTTTCAATTTCAACTGCTTTTCGATAATGAATATATCGTTTAACAAGATTACTGAATTGTTGAGATGGTAAACGAATATAATCTGTCATTGCTTCGTTTAATTCCTAGAAGAAAATAAAAATAAAAAAAAAACTTTATTTTATTTGATAATTAATTTTACTGTGAACTTACATTATATATTGTTTCATGTACTTTTCCTTGATAAACTGCTTGTTGAAGTGTTTGTTCATTTCGTTCAGCATCAAGACGAGTAAACAAAATACTTGGTTCAACAATTCCTTCAGCTTCAATTTTTGTTAGACGTTTTTGAAGATGAATTAATTCATGTTGAAGTTTTTTAATTAATTTTTGTTGATCATGAATCGAACTTTGATTTTGACTATAAGTACATATATGAATAAAAATTTAATTGAAAATATTTTATTTTTTTTTTACTTTAATTTTTCTTCATTTGTTTTATTTGTTTGATTTAAAACTTTTGTTATATGTTCATATTTAGTTGTTAAATCAATAATCATCAATTCTTTTTCTTGAAGAATTGATGATTGTGGATTATCAACTGATGAAGCTTCTTCAATTGGTTCCAATTCGTATTTGAAGTCTTTTTCTTTTCTTTGGTATTCATTAATTGTAGATGTTAATGTTGTTATACATGTTTGTAAAACTTTAACAGTATCTTTTAATAGGCATTCGGAATTTTTAACAAAATCACTTGTTATAGTATTATTATCGTTATCAGATGATAATTGTTGAATAGTTTGAAGACGATCAGCAAGTGATGTAAATTTATGTTGTTCAAGTAAATTTATTATTGCATAACGAAATTTATATATTAAATCATATAATTGAAAGAATTGAAGTTTAAATTGATCTGTTTGAATTGTTTGTGTCTGAATTCTAAAAACAAAAAAAAAATATGAATTTAACATATAGACATTGAAGAAACATACTTTTCTATATGTTCGGACGAACGTCGTGAACCATCGAGTGATTTTTGTTGTTGTTGATCTTGTTTGATAACTAATTAAATGTTTTAAATAAAAATTAATTTTTCTTTTCTAGTTTTTAAAAATTTACCTGACTGATTTTCTTCATCATCACTATTATCTAAAGAAGAAAATATAGATTATTACTCGATAAAAATTTTAAAATAATCATATATCGTAATTTGTTAAAATTCAAACTTCCTAAGAATCATTTTCTTTACTTACCAGTACGATTTTCTGATGGTTGTAATGCTATTTTTTCTTCTGTGGATGTTAAAGGAATTTCAACTTGTTGTTCAATTTGATCCATTTCATTTTGTTTTTCTTCGATTAGTGATGTTCGTAAAAGATTTTCGATGGACTCAGTTTCTTCATCAATATCCTAAAGTTTAATTAAAAATAGAGTTATAGACAATAAATGAAACATAAAATATTCAAAAGTCTTCTTTTCTTATTAGAATATCAGTATAAAAAAAGAAGATTAAGTATGATTACCTTTGAATGAGATGATAAACGATCATTTGATAGTTCTTCTATAGGATTAGTTTGTTCCGGTAATGAAGTGATGTTTTCAAGAGTGTCTTGTGGTTCCTGAGAGTAAAAAATCAAATTTTAATGGAATGGATCGCAATAGATTAAAGGGTACATCAGATAGTTTGTCTAACTTCTCTTATGATAAATATTTCTATATTTTTCTGTAGGATTATCTACGAAAAATATATAGTTACAGTTAAAATAGTTAGTTGTAACAAGAGTCAAGACTGTATATGCATACGCTCTAAAAAAAATTTTGAAGACAGAATAAACTTATTTGTAACTAATAGAAGCCACATTCATCACAACAAATGCTAAACTTCTTTTCCATAGTTCGTTGGCAATAGAATGGCTGATATACGTTTTTTTAATATTGTAGATTAGGGAGTTTAAGTTGTTAGCACAGATAAATGATTGTATAATAGATATCAAGGAGGATGACTAGTGATGCATTTATTCGCCATAGTTGATATGTGACCAATATAAAAAAGTAGGAACTGCTAAAACTCTCACTATTGAGAATACTTCATAACAGTGTGTCTAAGTTTATTGAGATACATAATAGCGTGTGGAAATTCATTGCAGATGTAATTGTCGTATAGAAAAAGAATCAATCGTTAGAATAATAATATTAATAGTAAATTAAGAAGAATGAAATAAAAGCAACAAAATAAATAATGAACGAACGACAATAAGATAATTAAAAATAGACCGCTAGTAAAGAAAACAATGCTTTTTCATATGAAACACGGTATAGAAGGAGTATCGAAGTGTATCGGATAGAAATTTGCATATACATTCACACCCTACTTCTTTAACGCATATTTGAAGAACTAGATAAACTCTTAGTGAAGAAATGTATTCCAAAATAGATGAAATGAAACAATCTTCCAGTGGTTAGAAACAGGAGATACATTGTATGTTCTTATACTTCAACCTCGCAGAGATTGCGCTAACAGTTTACTTTACATATTTTCGTATATCGAAATGAAAGTAAAGAAGACATATAAGTTTCATATTTTAGTCAAAAGGCAACTGTATTGGTAAGCTGTTCAGCAGAATCTTCCGCTGAAAGTTAAAAGAATTTTGAACAAAATGAAATTTTGCTTACTTTTTGTGTCTCTTGATGAATTGAACTAATTTTCTATAAATAAATAGTTTTCTTTAAAACATAATAATAAAAGTGAATTGTAATTCAAATACCGATTTTCCTTGTTCATTGGCGAGTAATTGTAATTGATTCAAGGCTTCTTCTGATGTTTTTTGTGCTTTTAGTTGTAATTGATAAGCATTATTTGCTTTTTCAATCAATGTATTTTGTTCCTAGAGTTAATTATCGGAAAAAAACCTAATATAGAAAAAACAAAATCATTTTCTTACTTTTTCACAGATTATTTTATATTCATCAAATTCTTGTTGTAAATTTTGTATTCTCTCGTTATTTATTAATTCCTTTATTTCAAGTTCTTTCGATAACTCTGTTATACGAGTAATAGCCTATATATATATATAAAATTATTTGATTTTGTTATTCATACATATAAACATACGAGTTGTCGTAGATTGGCAAATGTTGTTGGTAGATTTTCGGTTGTCACATCATTCAAATCAATTTCATTGTTTAAATTAAATAATACATTGAGATCTGGGAGTTCTTCAATATTATTTGAAGGTATCTGTTCATTATAATGAGTGATTTCATTTGAACTGTCAGGCGCTTGTGTTTTATCCTAAAGTAAAGAATTTATTTTAATTAATGATTTGTAATTTTACAACAACTGTTGTTAATTGAACTTCTTCTTTATCTGTTTGATTTGAAACAATTATTTTCGAAGATTTATTATCTTTTTTTTCAAATTTTTGTACTATAAAAAGAAATATATGAAACAAAAACATAAAATAAATTTAATGTTACATACAGTTTGTTTTTCTTGTATCAGTAGTATCCTTAATTAAGAAAAAAAATCATTTTTTTTTAAAATTTTATTGTATATTTATTAGATGTAAAACATTCTGAACGAATTGAAAATTTCAAAAGAAGTGGCGTCAACATTATTAGACTATTCGAATAGCTCTAGAAATGTTCTATCGTCCATAATACTTAGATATTGATATTCATCTATTTACTGAGAAATATTTTGAACATTATCAATCCGTGCTCACCTTCGGTCCACTATAAGAACTTACTAGAGTATGTCGGATTGGTCCCGAACTAGGATTTAAAATAAAACTCAAACGATGAGTTTCAATAACTTTTTTGAAGGTTATAATGAAACATATGATGATATTAGTTGAGGAGTATGCAAAATTCAGGGCAAAAGTAGGGACGTCGTTTGTGAGTAATCTTAATCAGAGTGAAGATGTGAATACATTGACAATGTTCGAAATATAAGGAAAATTCACGATGTCCATATACAAAGCGATAGAGCACGTCAAGACCTATCAGAATAGCTAATTACTTTTGTAAAAGTTTATTTTCATGTTTAGAAAAATTTTAAATAAAAACATATACATGTACGAAAAAAAAAGCACAATTATATATGGTTAAAGAGAATTCAGACAACTATCAGTACATATATAGAGAGAGAAACTTTATACATTATAACTGAAAATAGACGATGAGTTAATCTTCTACTCTACTACCTATGACGATATATATATGACACTTTAGTCTTATTATGAAATGTTTTTTTTTCTCTAGCAAAAAACGGTTTTAAGCATGATAATTTTCAATCGTGTAGAACAAGTTGAAAGATGTTTGGCGCATACTGCGACAATGCGGGAAGCAAATAATTAAAAAAATAAGTCTCCTATGAACTTTAAAAACTTACATTTGCATTCAAGTGATGAGTAGTTGATTTGATTTTTGTTAAATCATCTCTTTGATAATTATATTCCTCAATAATATTTTCTAATTCATCAATACGATCTTTATAAGATTTAATTTCTAATTCATATTGATTTAATTGATTATGTAATATTTTCTAGAGAAAAATTTTGTTAAATATTATTATTATTTATTCGATTTATTCTTACTTGATTATCTTGATTTGTTTGTATTTCATTACGTATTGTATTGATTTCATTTTCTAAGAATTGAATTTTCTCATCTCTATTTATGATATCTAGAAACAATAAAATTTAAATTAATATTCGGACATATTTAATATTATATGCACCTGTATTTGCTGTGTCTAATTTTGTTTGAAGATTAGTTAATTGTTCTTTAATTTCTTTAGGAATTGGAGTTGATTTCTTTTTTCCTCTTGATAAAAAAAATATTTTAATTAAATAATAAAAAAAAAATAAAGAATTCTAATTTACTTTGCTTGTTGTTTTGCTGCAGCATTTTGAATTAAATATTCAATAATTTCTTCATTAAGTTCAGTTAATCGTGTACCTAATTCTCTAACATGAACATAACAATCTTTAACATCAAATGATTTGAGTGCTTGATCAATATCATTTGGTGTTTCATTTATTTCATCAGAAATATTAAATTCTTTTGAACTAAAAGTTTGTTTTTGTTCATTAAAAAACTATAAGAAAAAAAAAAAAACAAAACTAATCAAGTGAAATTTTAACTAATATAAAATGACTTGGCTAATTTGTTGAAGAAGTTTTGTTTTTTCATCTAATTGTTCTGTTTGTCCAACAATGAAAATCATTAAACGTTGTTGGTACTAAATATTAAAATTAATAATAAGAAAAAATATATGAATTGATAAAAATTACTCGTTTTTTAGCTAAACTATCATTTAATAAATTTTCTAATTCTTTTATATCAGCAACATATTCAATATTTGCCATATCATCAGGTGCCATTCCATGTTGAACTAAAGATGATTTAACTGAAGATTCATAATTATTTAATGTCTAAAAAAATTTTTTGTATAGTTTATCAATAATAACAAAAGAAATCATATTACATACATCATCAACACGTTTAAGTACTATGTTTAATTCTTCTTTTGTTTGAGTAGCAGTACGTTGTAAACGATTTCGAGTATTTTTTTCAATAACTTCTCGACCTGGGTCTCGATTATTGGTATCACTATCATCATTATCTGTACTATTGGAACGTTTGTGTAAAATTTTTGGACGAACGTAATCATATCGAAGCATATTAATCTAATGAACAAAAAAGAAAATAAAATAAAAAGAGATACATTTCCTAATCAAAATTGAGTCTTTTTTTCTTTTTACTATTTTCTTCTCGCATAATTTTCTTTTTCTAATGTATTACAGATTCGATAGGTTGAAGAAGGCTTCTGCTCATAATCTGTAATGTATTATAAATATACAGAATAATAAAAGACAGAACAGAAGTATATTTTCTTTTGAATTCTTTCAAACAACTGACATACTTTCTTGATTATATACAAACAGTCTGTTGTATAGTAATAATATATAATTGAAAAAAAAAAGATTGAAATTGAATGAGGATACCATGCTTTGTATCTCTATAAACTTTATCAAGTGAAGAGAAAACAAAAAAATTCTTCATTGATATAATACAACAAATTTCATCCTAACCTATATTCATCATAAAATAGAATGATCATAGAAAAAAGATTAATAGTTTCTATAACAAAGGAATAACATCACTTACGTTAGTCAACTTACCCAGATTTATTTCCTTTTTTTTTCTTTTATTCTTTTATTTATTATTCACATACACTGTTTGTGTTTTACTTAAGAGCTTTTAAAGTTAAAAAAAATGGGTTTAATTTATGCACACACATTTCTGTACATGTCCGTTTTTTCTTATTCTTTCTCTTCTCACCAACTTATACACAAACATACTTCGATGGTACCATAGAAGCGTTCATTTTTAGCGCCCCAAGGATCAAAAATTATACATTACTAATGTAAAAAATAAGTTCCAATGAGTTTTAATAAAGCTAGAAATTAAAATTGTCTTCCGTGTGAGTAGATCATAATATTTTTTTCGTCGATATTTCGTAGGCAAAAAAAATTTCAAAAGTTTTTCGATGAAGAAAAAAAATCTTTTTTTTTCTTGTTCTCAACTGAATTTATTGACGAATCTTTATTAGAATATTGCTATGGTTAATGATTACTTAAGTAAATCAACATCAAAATGCGTAATAAAACTTATTTGAATACGTTAAAAAAGACTAACAGAATATTTCGTATTTCAAAAGTTCTATGGCAGATATGAACAAGATAGTACCAGTTCCGACGGGATTCGGATTAAATTGTTATTTTAACAGGGACTAGGATCAACACTTTTCCATTGGGATTGGTATCTCTTATGGACGTGTACAATGTTATATGGTCACAACTCATGTATTCTAAAAGCTTATGCGAAAATTATTGAGTAGCGATCACTTCAATAGTTGCTGTTACAATTTTGATAGTAAAATTCATCATTTTTTTGTTCGAAAAACAATAGAATTGTCGAATACATAGACGTGCAGAATAGGTGAATTAGTAGTGAAATCGACCAAAGCGATGTGTCTTCGACAGAGAAGATGTCTTGAACTTGTGAATACGGCTAGACAATGATATAGCATTTTTCGCTAGTACAGACTTTACTAAGTACGAGACCAACGCCAGAACCAAAAACGATTAGTCCCGCTCATCACTAGTTATATGTTAACTGCTCATATTAATCATTACAATATCTGATTGGTGTTTAAACATCGAAACATGCTGTTTTTCTCCTTTTTTGTTGATCGAAAAAAGCGTTTGTTTTTTATTAATTTTTCTTATAAGACATTTTATTATTGAAAGAATAAAAAATCAAATTTTAAATTAAGTTTTTTATTTATTTGAAAAATTTCTATTGTGTTAATTTAAAAACAATTCACAATAGAAATATGAATTATATTTTTAAAAGAATTGTTATTATCAAAAGCAGCATCCATTGAAAATTCATCATTGGTTGATGTAATGTTGTCATTGCTGCATTCGGTTGTGATGAAGTGTGTATTGTTGTTGTAGTTGTTGTAGTTGTTGTAGTTGTTTCTTGTACAACTGGTATTGTATTTAATACTGGTAACAGTCCATATTGCACCAACAAGTTTTGTACTTGTTCATCTGCTCTTATACCATTACACATTGGTTTGGTACATGCGTAAGTTAAAGAAGCTTCAGCATCTGGTTCCTCCACAGTATTTGATTGAATCATTATGCCTGATGGATTGATATTACTACTCTGAGGAACACATTGTCGATCAATATTGGATGTACCTTTACGAGTCAATTGACAATAACCATTGGGACATTGAATACTTTGATCATTATTGTTAGAACACGTAAGGTTGGCAACAAATGATTGATCAGAATGTAAAAGATTACTTAGTTTTGTTTGAATTTCATCATATTTTAAATTTTTCACTAGAAAGAAAAATAACAAAATCATCATTTAAAAGTACATTTAATTTTATTGTGTACATGTAATTAAGATTCACATTAATATTTATCAAACTTACTTCTGTTATAAGTTGTGTTTACATCTTCTTCACAAGCTGTACTATCAGTACAGATTGATTGAAGTGAATGGAAAACTTTTTTCTTGCTAAACCAAATCATTGTACCATTTATGACCATCCTATTTTTATTTGATAAAATCAGTACTTGTTCGGGAAGATGAGTAAAAACTGCAGTAGCATTTTCGTTTTCAAAATAAATAAATAATGTTGCTGCACACATTGAACCTGGTCCATTTTTTCTATTACAGTCTGGTCTTGTCGTATTTAATACTTCTGGTGAATTAAACTGGAAGTCTTGATAGCAGTCTAAACATTCAATGGCCAATGTTGCTATAGGTAAGTAGAAAATAAAAACAAACGTGACCAAATAGCAGAACATAATAGCAGGATAAATTGCAATAATATGCAGATCATGGCTTCGAATATATATATATATATATATATATATATATATATAATCTCTTTCTTTTTAGAAAGTCTGCATCATCAAATACTTATTTCAAGCCCATTATCATTTGAGCATACTTCAGTTGAGAGTAAGATTTATATACATAATGATAAACTTACCTTTGTGTGGTGAATGATTAAGATATTGGCGTCAAGGACAGATCGATAAAATATTGGCTATATATTTCAGCTATGTAGTTCGAAACATATGCATTTTCATGAGAGTATTGTTCTATGTCATGTAAAAAGATGTTCAGTATCTGGAATTTGGTTTCTGTGATAAAAAAAATAAATTTTATAAATATAAAATAATTTATATAGATGGTACATTTCATACTTGATTATATAAATAACGATAATATTTATTAACTTAATAGAAAGACACCATGACTTCATTCATTTTTTTTTCTTCCAATTGCAACAGTCGAGTAACTCCAATATATTCAGATGAACAAGAAAACAGCTTTTAAAGCTCAATAATATACTGAAACTCTCACTGCTTACGAGAGAAGTCCATCAATTGATTCGTCGTTTTTAAGCCGGAATTATGTACTTCATATAGACCCAAATGAATCATGAATATCCTAACAAGAGTTCGGGCCCTTGACTTATTGCTGCTGAGCTATTGCATTTATGCGAATATAAGTGATACACATAGCCCCGAATCAAAACTCAATTGATCAGTTGGGAGATTTCTCTCGTTAGTACAACAAGAATCTTAATACATTTCTTGGGATGCATTACATTATAAACCATTTCTTAACTTTTTACAAAACATTGTAGCTTTTTATTTTGTTTGATATGCTTTCCAATGAAATACATTATGTAGATATCAATATTAGGTAAGTTCTTAATAAGAATATATACAAGAATGTTACATTGTATCTTGAACTGTAGAATCTTTATTTCTTAATACCTATCAAGTTTGAAAAACAATTCTTTTCCAGGTAAGAAGATATAGTAAATGACCGACTACAGTCTGAAATAACATCTTAATCATTATGCCGATCGATGTCTTGGTAGGCACCGTTCTGAATAGAGATAGTTATTGTCTATAACATGATGTTGATGATTTATATTATGCTAACAGCGTTTGTATTTTTTTTGCTATTATCGTATTGTTTCACTATACTGGTTTCTACAAGAGCATTCGGTGAAACAAGTAGAGAAATTCTGTACAATATATTTACCTATAAAGCTATATCTCATAGGCACTGATTAGTTGACAGAAAGCTATTAGCACCATCCCTGCGAGATCAGTATATGAAACCCGATGTATAGTTGCTGAGGTCAATCAAAGAGAGATCGTTACATTCTATCTATTTTGGGAACACATTTCTTCACCATATCTTACTTAATCTTCCAGAAATGCAATAATGAAATAGTTCATCGATTAAGACGAGAAGTTATTGATAAACGATCTATGATCACATATCAACAACATCTGCCATGATCTGTGATAATCCTTGGCTAGTGTTTAGCGGTTCCAAAAATTACTCTGAACTGAGAACGAAACCGTTCAATATCAGATGGATGCGAAAATTTGAAATACAATTTGAAAAATTTTTACTATTGAATTATTGAGATCAAAGACACCACATATTTCAGTACTTAAACGAAACAATATTATACATGTACACTGAGATCTTTAATCTCAAGAATAAAAAAATAAAGATTTCTCGACATAGGTTTAACGATTCTGATTTGATGCTAAGTTTCCGGAACCAGCGAATCCTATTTCTGAATAGCGTCTATCACGATCTATGAAAGAGAGAATTCTAAATTTTTATTTCTACCCATCAACAATCCTTTTAGATTGTTTTTTATCACAGAGTCATCGAAAAATATTTTTGATTTATGTATTAAGACAGAAATAAACAAAAAGACTAAGGAAATGTAACATCTTCATCCGCATGTCTTTTTCTTTTATTAACCTTGTAATCAATGTCTATATGTATGATTTTTCCCGTATTGTATGACAGACACACTTGATGGCTTTTTCTTTCTTGCCTTATCACTTTTATACATAAAACATGTGTATCGAGGAAAAGTAGAATTTTTTTTTTATGTCAAGACCTCAACAATAATATAAACATTCTTCTCAGGCTAATATACTTGTATTCAAGTTTTTTATAGAAATCTTTATAAAACTAATTGTGTCTTGCAGTTGACATGTGAAAAAAGAATAAACATAAAACTTTCAGCCGTAGCTAATATTGT